TGCCGGACCCCCGCCGCAGCTTTACAAAGCCGCGGGGGAAGCCGGCAAGGAGGGCAGCCCAGGCGCGCCCCTTTGCTCCGCGTCTTCCTGGTCTGCAGACCAGGGAGACGTGGAGCAGCTTTTCTTGCCGGGGAGTACACGGGCGGCGGGACCACGTGGTCCCGCAGCCCGTGTTCGTAACTGCGGATCCGACGTAAGTCGGATCTGCCTAAGTCAGGGACTGCCTGTACATCTTATGTCAGTCTGCAGGGAAGTGGTTAATATTTTTTTAAATGCTTCACTTAAACTATTTGCAAGTGTTTTTAGCCGCAGCACTTAACAGGCCATTGCTCACCAGGAAAAGGAGATAAAAGGAAAAGGAGGATGAGGGACAAGACATTGCTATGAAGGTCCTGCTGGCTCTGTTGATGGGGACAGTGTCACTTAGTTTAAATCCTTTGGAAATGAAATCTGTCCTCTGGCAGTCAGCTGCAGTACTGAATGACCACCAATTTTGATAGTAGTCAGCTGCAAAATTGTTCCCGGTGACAGGCAGGCTGCAGGTAAATCTCTGGCTGTACTGAACCAGCTCCCTAATATGTAGGAGTCCTTGCAGCAAATTTAAACTGCAAGTAAAATACAAGGCAATACAGCCCTGGAGGGCTGGCATAGCTAGGAGCAGCTGCAAAAGACTGCCCTCTGAGGGTATGTCTACACTACCCCGCTAGTTCGAACTAGCGGGGTAGTGTAGACATACCCATACAGATTAACTTCAAACTTAAACCACAAAGGATTAGGAAAACAGCCAGTCCACTTCTCACTGAGGAGAGCAGAACAAAATGTCTGGAGTTGCTATGCAACACCATTTTCCAGATGCGGCAAAAAACATGGAGTTTTTTTTTTAAAGATCCTTGACCTCTCTGCCAGGGCTGGCTCTAGATTTTTTGCTGCCCCAAGCAAAAAAATGTTTGGCCGCCCCCTCCCCCTTTTTTGTTAGCTTTTACACGTTTGCACTTTGCAATGTTTTGTTTTGTTATTTGACTGTTAAAAATTAAAAAAAAAAAATGAAAACAGAAAATGTGCAGTTAGTGAACTAAAA